CGCTTCATTCAGCGTTGCACCTAAACACCACTGGAATTATAATTAATAATACATTATACTCAGTGATGTTATATCAGAAGTGTTTATATAAAATGAACATTATGCCATCAGTATATTAGATTGAAAGTTGTTATATCAATCGTCTATTATACCTTTATATCATGCAAGATTATGTCAAATGTCTATATAGCATATATTAATTATATCGTTGAGCGTTATATCGACTAAAAATATGTCATTTGTTGTTATATATTACGAACCGCACCCAATATTCCCTACATTTTGTAAACAATAATACTAAGAAGAACGTTTCATAATTTAACCAAGACAAAGAGGTAAGTACTCGTATTATAATGAACATCCATAACAAGGCATGGGCAGGGTACAAGGCCCTAGCGGGTCAATTAATAATCAACTCAAGGAGTCGACGGTTAATTGACAATTATCGCGGTTAATTCTCGACCACAATTACACGCTGCGACAGTTTGAGGCAATTCTGTCATTGGATTCGTACTGTTTATTTTTAAATTCATTGAGGTGCTAGTGGTGTTGGTAGTGTACTCACACTTTAGAACTTTTTGTTACATTATTATTTTTTTGTTATTTTATAGATGAGCAAATAACATTTGAAATTATACACAGCACTATTCCCAACGAAAAGCAAGAAACCCTTGTGGTTGTTCTCTATAAAGATTTAAATGTGAATTTATTATTTACAATAGTTAATATAAAACTGTAATAACAATATATAGCAATTGAATCGATTTTTGTTCCACGATGTTTTGAAGTGTTAAATACCAAAAGGGGTCGCGTGAACATTGAGACTGACAGAAATAGTAAGATAAATTGAGTTTTTTAGAAACATTTTTCTATTATTTACGATAATGTTTTGTAAATATGTAACATTAAAACATAACTAGGGGCAAAAAAGAGGTGTAACAGTGAAAAACTACTCTAGGTCTAATGTAATATGCGTCTGAGGATACACTAAACTAAATAATATTTAATATTTATTTTATTGAATATCATGATGTTTTGCCTACCATGATACTCATATATTTTTTGTGAAAATGGTCCACTAGTTTTTTATTATTATTGACACAAAGATCAAATAACACAAAGAAAATTCCTTCGATGTGACTGAACTCGAACCACACTCAGTAGTTCACTTGTAGCTGAGTTAGTAAAAGTGGTAGCCCTGTGTAAACAGACGATGGTTCGAGTTGACTCAGATTAAAGGAATTTTTCGTCCGGTCTGTGTATCAATAATAATGAACAGTGTTTAGTTTTATATTTCAGGTTTATAAAGATTTTCCTATGTCATCGTAATTTTTTTTTTTGCAAACTTTAGAGGTTTTTAAATCCGATTTGTATTCTTAAATCACAAACTGATCCATTGACAAAGATTGTCATTGAAACAATTCATTTCACTTTACATTAAAATACTAATTACTTAATACCAATGTGAAGCTACGGAAAACAATGGTTATTACATAGAGTGTTTGTGGGTGCGTGCGTGCGTGCGTGCGTGCGTGCGTGCTTGCTTGCGTGCGTGCGTGCGTGCGTGTGCGTGTATGTGTGTGTGTTGTGAATGCTTGTGTATGCATGTTTAATTATAATTATTACCTTTCAATGTATTCAATGATGACTCTCTATAAGTAACTATAGTACTAACTTTAAACTAGTTAGCGGATCACGTTGGAGTCTAGTTTACATTGTTAGCCTACATTGGACCGCTTCCGTTGTGCTTGACACTGCGACATTGCAAGTCTACAACTCGAGTCTCGGGACACTCGTGACTCGGCTATTATCATCGCCCCACATATCAAGTACACTTTTCCCTTAACCCGTTTCGAGTGTTTAGCACGATGTAAGTAATTGTGTACCGGTTTTTCCATACGCTATGCCACGAAGAACTAGATTTTAGAAACTGCGGTTCAAAGATATACATGAAGTGTAGAGAAATATTAGGATAATGGCTATAGTTAGTAACACGCGGGTGTCTGTGAAAACAAAGTATTTAAGCAAACATAAGCTGTATGAGTAACCACCTATACTATGACAATGTTAAAAAAATTCACCAAGTAAGGCACTGGTAAGATGTTTATTTTGGCTTTTATAACACTTACATATTATAAACAACTACATTATAACATAAATAGATCTGGCTGATCTTATGTAGGTATGGTTAAAGATTGAATCATAAAAGTGTACGTAGAATGGTCTTACGATTACTCCTAGCTATTTTACTTATGTTGAGTGTGTGCGTTATTTACTTATTTATTTATTTTAAACGCAAGATGTACTGATGTAGGATCTCTACAAGACCTTGTGTATCTAGATCAGAGGTTTCTAAACTTTTATGTCTCGTTGACCACGTGCCTATTATTTCGGTTTTGTAGACCTCCATTTCTAACACGAATGTTTTTACAAATTCATCACCTTCAAATGTGTTTTAGATAGCTGACGCAGTGCTACTTTGAACAGTTTAACTGTATAGTGAAAAACTTTATGAATAAACACGTTAAATTTTGTATATTTATCTTAAATACATTTTTGTTTGTTGTGAAATGTTTACTTAATGGGTAATTTATATGTCTATTGTAATAAAATATTATGTAAGTACATAGGAACTATCTCTGTAATGTGGATTATTCCATTTATGTAAAGCCATAATTTTGATCACGAATGAGTCGCATTAATGAGACCCACTCCGGTGGAACCCCATTAACGTCTCATGCACCCCTTGGGTTGAAGGAGACCACTGGGGGTCAATATAGACTACTTTGAGAATCATCGTTCTAGATGAATCGATTTGTAAAGAATTAATGGTACATAATTAATACCTTCATGCCGTGTTATTGTGGTTTATTGAGAATCACAAATAACGGCGAATAAGTGACCCCTAGGACAAGGGAATGAAGAAAGTATGTGATAACAATTACGGCGTACATCTTCTAAGTTTCGAACAAAACTTAACTCATTAATATTGCGGGATTATGATTGGAAGATACCGCACGCAAAAACTTTTTTATGTGCCACTAATGACATACAACGTACATACAATGATTCTTTGTTTCGTATATGCAGGAATTATAATAAGGTTAGCACTGAGGTAGATATTATGTTTCACCAATCTTTAGAATTATTTATATCGTCTATGAGGTCTTTAAGCTAGGTTCAAGATGTGTTCATTTTGCTTATTTTTTTGTAGATTTTTAATTTATCGCTCCAACAAACTTCTCTTTTTTTAATTTTATTAAGGTGCATTTTTTTATTTTAGAATAGGATGTTTAACCATGGATATTTTTATTTTGTTAATATTCAGGTAGGGTAAAAGAGACAATAAAAGCTTAAATACTAGAAAGTAAAACTGGGATTTTTAAATTATATGAATAAAATTGGGTCCAGGCGGCAAGGTGCCCAAGATGCTGGCAGCATTCCCCCTTTGTATTGCTATGCTAATGCGTTGGGCAATGAAGCTGCTTGCCCTTGGGTTTCCCAAACATCTATACATTTTTTGGATAAAATTTTGTACAGATGAAGGGTCATCAATCGAATCAATTAATAAATTAACCTTATTGAATATCACGATGTTTTACTATAAAGATATTCAATTATTTTTGTGCCATTACACTAAGAAAAATTTGTTAGATCTGACTGAATTCGAAATAACTCCTTCAGCATATCGTTCGTGACACGTTTGTTCTTTGTATAAATAATTTTAACTCAATATTTTACTTACAATTTAGAAAGGTATAGTCAAATTATTGTCTTTGTTTTTGGTCAGTCAATTGCAGCCCATTGCAAGTCATCCGACTCTCCCAGTGTAAAAATGAGTCGTAATAACATTTACTTTAAACTAAATTTTTCCGCAACAAACAGCAACGAGATCAAGAACAAAACGGCTAGTCAATGTGATTCAGAAGCATTCTCGTCAATCACTAGCGTTGTGTGCTTAACGCAGTGCAATATTTATCATGTTTAGTTATAATAATACGCATTATAATGAGCAGAATACATTCATTCAATTATTTATTTATGTTAAATGAGATAAGTAGGTACATTGAGGAATTGTTTTATATTCGTCACCTATTGCTTTCCAACTAAAAGTCTCATGTTATTGATCATACTTTTTGCTGACGTAAATTAATATAAATGTTGTGTGACCAAAACAGAGTGCAATAATAAATACTCCAGGGCCTTATAAAAAACACTTTTTTCTAAAATTTTTGAATAATTACAAAATATTTTTTTACCTATATTTACTTGGAAAAGTTGTTAGTTAGTTTATTTGTGAACTGTGAAGATAGAGTAACGACATTAACTCCAGGGGCACTATTCAGACACCCAGCTTTGATAAATTGGTCCTACCGTGAGTCGAATACTGGATCTCGCCAACTAGCAAAAAAGAACTAACCGCTGGACCACCAGAATTGCAAAGATAAATACATGTATTATAATACCAATTTGATCAATGACGATTGTCAATTTATCCAACATAATAATGTTTATGCACTCGTTAAATTTAAAAGTACATACAACCGATTCAGTCCTACTACAAAACAAATTTTGTTTGAAACCAAAATACTTTTTTTTTATGATAACAAGTGACAGGACCAACAAATTATGCATTTGGTGGTAAGTGACACGCCTGTCCATAAGCAGCGCCACTCAGAGCTTTTAATCGCAAAAATGTAAGAGTACTGCCCCTACACCCTGAGATATAAGTTCATAAGTCCCATGTGTCCGTAATTTCACCAGCATCCTTAACCGAAACGAGAGTAATGCACATATTACTGCTTAGCGGTTTAAGTTCGGTTCTTACCCATAAGCATTGTCATAGATTTAACCAACAGTCGAGGAACTGAAATAAGACCAGTCGCTACCTAGGCCCATATAGCAACGCTGCACGCTTTCTGGTTCCACTCGCGCCAGTCACCAACGATACGTCTGCGCGTGCGACCGTATCGGTTGCGCGGGTGTGCTACAACTTTCGTGCGGATTTACTATAGTGTAGTGTTATTTATTACTTACTTAATGTTAGATACCAAAACATTGATACCGTAGTATTACGATACCGTGTAATATGTGATGTGAAGTGGCGAAATGTGATTGCACTATTGTGTATTGCTGGGTATTGTTTACCTTTCCATGGTAAGGAAGTGTTTTCATTATTTTATGGGTTCGTCGACGTTGCAATGGTTTACCTGTTAACGTGCTTATATTTAAAATTTGCATTCACTGTACTGATTATTTCATGCCTTTTATGCTTGTTAAAAAAATAAACGTCTTTGTGATTCCTTGAAATGTTACATTGACAAAATTTACAAAGGCTATACAGAGTTAATCGCGTATCGTACGAAAGAAGTGTTATAGAAAAAATATTTTAACTTATGTATTTCACACTATCTAGTGGAAATTTTGAATTTATTATTTACCTATTATTTTTAAAAAACAATAAAAAAAATTTAAAATCATTACGAAAGCTCACTGTATGTATAGAATTCATTAACAGATAGTTACAACAAATCGCAATGTAAAGCATTTTGTTCAGTTTATACTAGATTATCTATGAAACAGGAATTACGGCCTGAATATTCTTAAGGTTTCAACACTTTGTCTCCACTCACATTATATGGTATCATGTATTTATTACCATCGAACTCAATGCATATTAATGCAGACCGCATAACAACACCTTTACCGCCACAACGTGGTTGCGACACTTCCTAGTCTTACGAGAAACAATGCGTAAGCGTGCCACATCCAGACAAAAACAATATTGTTCTATTTTTATTCTTTTACGAAATATCAAGTAGATCATCTGAAATCAAAGAAGTTTTTTTTTTTTAAATTGCTACTACCTGTATAGCACATTCATAACTTCCAAAAATTCTTGGTTTGCAATATTGGGTAGCTACAGAACAGCTGAAATATTATCAACTAGCGACCTTTAAATAATACAAGGACACAAGTGTTTCTATTACTTACTACATTACGTCACGCCTTATATGAATTTACTTTGTTGTCAAAACCATAGCTCACTGGAGTTAGTAGTAATTTTCACAAGTTACACTATTTTACGAAGTTACTATTCAATTTCATGAGATTGTAAAGGACGATCAATTTACAACGATAAAAGCAGAATGCTGAAGTCAACGTTCGAATATACCAAACAACGAAGAACATTTGGACGTGAACCAATTTTTTCAATAGTGCATGCGCAAATGTTAGACTCCATCGCCCCAAATAAAGAAGAACAAAACCAATACGTACTCCGCAATCCTGTACACCGTGAAGCACAAGCAGTATTGCCGCAATCTGAACATGAAGCTAATACGAAGCAATTGATAATTCGCGAGCAAGGCATTAATCATGCTGAAGGCGGTTGGCCTCGGGACGTTCAAAGGGAGAATGAAGAACACGTGCAACGCTACGTTCGTCGCTTAACTCACGAGGATCACTATATTAATGCAGTTGCGAACGCATCTGGTGCCTTAAAGCACTGTTTAGACCAAAACAACGCCATCGACATGTATACGATCTATTTTTCAAATTTTCCATCTCAAGAACCAGTCGAAAAATACTGCATACGAACCGTTAATACATTCCGTGATGATTTGCATCGAAGTGTCTCATGCTTAGATTGGACACATGACGTCAATTCAAAGGTAGTAGCTTCACACTATTATTTCGCACAAGGAACGAATCCTAGTCAATTCTGCTGTCATGTATGGGACACACAAAATCAAAACAAACCCGTACATGAGCTAGATCCAAGTCATCCATGTTGGCGACTTGCTTGCTCTCCTGTGGACCCTGAAATTGTCATATGTGGTTTAGAAAATGGTACAGTATGCGTTTTCGATATCCGGGAAGGCCGGAATTCTGTACTTCAAAGTTCGATCTACAATTCTCATACCCAACCCATCACAGGATTACTCTACACACACAATCGCACTGGTACGGAATTTTATACCGGCTCTCCAGATGGACAATGCATGTGGTGGGATATCCGTGATCTTTCTGAACCGACAGATCGTGTTCCGATTTCCATTAAATTATCTTCTAATCAAAAGCCAAGTTTAGCCAACGCTGAAGGTGTTAGTGCTATTCAGTTCGATAAAGGCGTTCCTACTAAATTCTTAGTTGGAACCGAAACTGGATATGTTGTTAATGGAAACCGTATGGGTAAAACTCATTCTGAGGTTTTATATTCATATTATAAAACTCACGAAGGAGTCGTTCGCAAAGTACAACGCAGCCCGTGTACTTTTAGAATGTTTTTGACTTGCGGTGAATGGGATGTGCGCATTTGGAGTGAAGAAGTAAGAACAGCGCCCATTATAGTCACTAAACCATACAAATACGAAGTAGTTGACGCAGCTTGGGCACCACAACGATATTCTAGCTACATGGCAGTGTGTAACGGCGGGATAATCTATTATTGGGATTTCCTTCGCAAGTACAAAGATCCAGTCGCTGCTTTACAACTATCATCTCATCCTCTCACCACTGTTGCGCCACACCCTGACGGCGAACTAGTTATAACAGGTGATGAAAATGGTACTATATTTTTATTGCATTTGTCGGAAAATATGGCATTTCCCGACGTAAACAACAAATCTCTTATGGGTAAAACTTACGAAAGGGAAACAAAACGTGAACATATTTTGGATAATCGAGTCAAAGAAATTAATTTAAAGAAACGAGAAGAAGAAGCAGCCACTGCCGCAGCGGCTATTTCGGAAGAAGAAATTCTAGAAGAAGAAGATCCAGATAGAGAAACTGAAGAGGAATATTTTAGAATCGTAAAAGAGGAGCTGTATAATATGTACGGAACATCAGAAATTGGTGATCTCTCTAGTCCTGATCATAATTAAATAAAAAGAAATATCGAGTTCTTAGTAAAAAGAGTAAAAAGAAATACTTATACACGTACATTCATTTGATGAAAACAATGTACTAATACTAATAAATTCGTCCATCTATTCTATCGTGTTAAACATGTTATATTTTCTAAATTATATATGTAGGTTTTGTAGAAATCTCTCCCCATTAAAAATAAAGTAGTAAGTTGATTTAATCTCCTATTAAAAATATCGAGGCCTTGTAATCCTCACTTATAATCAATCCCGGATGTTTGGTGTGGTCGAGGAGCCCGCATGTACAAGACAGATCCGGCGAGGGCCATGACCGCCAATACATCTTACGCACAACAAATATAGCTCGACCCGTGGAAATTGTCGTTTCCCCGGCCGTTGTATGGGTGATAAATGAATGAGGAGGGCAGGGAAGACCTTGTTTGAATGGTAGCGTAAATTACTCGTAGGTTGAGTTGCGTGTACAAAAGTGCGTCACAAGCAACTTTCACCACTTAGTACCCGCGCGCAGTCACTGTGAGCGCCGTTTTCATTTCACACCGCGTTCCCCTTTGAGCTATGCAGCGTGGAATTGAAGCATTTCGTTGAGCATTGCAACAATAGATTGTTATCATGTTAACATTATTGGTATTAATATTTTTCATTGTTTATAGAACTTCGATACTTAAGTAAGTATCATAACACAAAAGTTTTCCGTAGTCAGTAGTACAATGCATTAATTTGGTCTTACTAATAAACATTGGTTAGGCACTTTTGCAATTGAATGTTCCTTTTTTACGTCTCTCTTAATGTATAGCATCAGCCTAGTTCTGCAACCAATATGTTACATCCCTATTTAACATGCTAAATTTGTAACTAAACAAGTAGCCCAGCGTTACTTGCTGAAAACTTTATTAATCGTCTGCTACTAATTATAACACAAAGAATTTACCGACATACAGTTTACTATTAATTTACGTACTTAATCAGCAGTTTCAAAGATAGTAAAACTTAATAACATGTTCAAGTATCTAATGAAATCGTATCAAAGACACGCACTAAAATGGTATTCGCAAAGTAGCACACGGCTATGTAGGTTAATGCCTACACCAATAAATACCATGAATGAGCAGGTTCTTAGGACGTCAAAAGCTGGTTCTTAACCATAAGCGGCTTAGGATTTTTTTCGTTTACCTTCATATTATTTTAATAGTGCTTAAGTTTAAACGTCATTGACACATACTTGAGCGAGTACAAAGTAATAAATGTGAATATATATGGAAACTGGTACTATCATACAAATACAACCAATACGTACCATGTATTCAATGCTGATTACTTTCAAATTCCTTTTATCTGAACTCATTAGAATGAAAATCATCAAATAAAAAACTTAAACATAAAAACAATCAAGAAATGTATTTTTCTCTAAACAATAAGAGATTAACTTTAGACTTACGATTTTTATCGCTTACGTTAGCTGTTGAACCTTGGTATAATATTTTATAACAATTGTGAAACTCGATTTGACTCGGGTCACGATCTTCTAAAAAATCCGGCTAGGTCAAAAGATTAAAAGAGCATTGTCAACGCTACTCTTGTAATATCAGCATGCCAGAAAAAATGCTGCATCACCAAAACATTTTGTTTCATGTATGAATACTCAATATTCGAAACTTTAAATATTAATTTAATTTTACTCATTTTTCTATATTAGATTTAGCTGTAGTTTTAGCTTTAAGTAGCAGTAGAGCTCCATGTGAAAAAGTTCGTCCAGGGAAGTACTGCCACCTTACCTATTTCTGCCGCCAAACAGTAATGTCAGCATTGCTATGTTCCAGTTTTGAAGGGTAAGGGTGCTCGTGAAATTGCAGGCACATGGGACTTGTCAACTTATGTCTCAGAGTGACGGGCGCAGTGGCAGTGCCCCTCATATCTTTGCGATTTACAGCTCTGAGTGTCACAGTAATGTTAAAAGTTATGGACAGGCGTGTAGCTTACCATCAGGTGCACGACTTGTCGTCCCGTGACTTGATATTATAAAAAAAAAGAAAAGCTTATAATATTGTCTTGCACTTGACTTGTATAAACTCTAAGCAATAACTTGATGAATCAAATTAACAAACACTTCTACTTTTGTAAATGTCATGGAACATTATTAACGTACAACTTTCAGCAATGTTTTTTTAACTGCTTTTTCACTAAAGTAGAATCAATCATTTATTCCATAGGTAAAATTTTTACACTTGAAAACGTGATTTTTAAGCTACTGAACAGAATCACACACCAACTCATGTTTTTCATTTAAAAATTGCATAATAGTAGCAAGCACACATTCAACGAAAGTATTAAGCTTGTTGCGTATGAGAAATGTATAAACGATACATTGTGTAAATTACATCAATAATTACCATGGAAGCAACTAAGCATATCGGAGGGGCATGCGCGTAGGCAGATGCCTCAACAATCAGGAGTCGAACACCGAATGCCAATGTCATCTAATTTGCAAGCTCGCCTTACTGTTACTTCTTTAGTCGATACGATATACAAACATGGACCATCTAACCGATATGGAAAACATGTAAAATAAAAATTAGTAAGTCCTATCACCAATGGAGGCAGACCGCAATAATGTACGGAACTTTTGGAAAGGTCACACAGTTAACATTTGCTTAGGTCTTTGGCATACAGACTGTATCATATGACACACCTAAATACAGTTCTTTAGATTGCCTATAAAATATATTAATTATTTATTCGTTATATGCAATATAATCAAGCACGCATAATGTATATGTCTTTATTAATAAAAGAACCTGTAGTGATACACTTTTGTGCAAAATAAAGTCCATTATTTGTTCTGAGGCTACTATCGAAGGGAGTTCTACATCAAAGGCTGTGTTATGGATACAATCATTGTAATCAGCTCTAACGAACGACCTATAAATTATACAGTGAAAACAACAAGATAACATTAGTAAGTATGTATTGAAGTTCAGAAATATTCATATTGGTGTTACAGGACGCAATGGGTAGCGCTGTGCGATGACGTGCGCGGTGCTGGTGGCGCTGGCGCTGCTGGTGACTGCAAGCGCGGCGCGTGCGCAGCTCCGTCCTGCCGACGCGCCGCCACCACTCAACGATACAAGTCAGTGTTTTTTTTATTTAGTTTTAAATTTATGTAAATGATGTAGTTATAGAATTCAAATGAATTCACAAACTTCACATTACAACCTTGATAAGTCTGCTCAGAATTACCTAGGCAACATTAAATCTATTACATTTATCAAAATTCTTTGGTAATTGCTATAGAACCATTCTTCTGAAGTGTATTCTTGTATTTGTGGAGCTATTCTGTACAAAAAGCAAATGTTCCATTTACAAGGAAGTATCAATCACGCAACGAATTGCTGTTCTCAACCAGCAATTCATCTCAGTTTACGATATAACAAACTGTAAAACACCTTATACGTAACAAATTCCTACGGATATTATCATGACGCAACACCGTCTTGCCCGTGTAATTTATCTAGCAATAACTGAACTAGAACTATACAGGCTGATCGGTATGAGAAGATTTAATAAAGTTTAGATAAGCTGATTTGACTGAATGATTTTAAATGAATAAACAGCCCGCAACATTAGCCTTTGCATATAGGATACAGACCTCGATTTAAATCTAATCTGTTTTTAACATATATATAAGATATAACTAGCAACTATATATAAGATATAATTAGTAGCAATAGAGCTCCTTGTGAAAGAGTTCGTCCAGGGTAGTTCTGCCACCTTACCTATTTCTGCCGCCAAGCAATAATGTCAGATTACTGTGTTCTGGTTTTGAAGGGTGCTGGTGAAATCACGGGTACATGAGACTTGTCGACTTATGTCTCAGAGTGCCGGGCACAGTGCCTCTCAAAATTTTGCGATTTAAAGTTCTAAGTGGCACTGCAACTGTTATGGATAGGCGTGTAGCCTACCATAAGGCGCACGAATTGTCCGTCCTGTCACTTGTGATTATAAAAAAAAAACTTTTTATAAAAAAACTGACCTCAAAAGTGTGTTGAATCTCCAATTTGTCAAGTTTTATTGAAATCGGTTAACGGAAAGTGGCTGACATTCAATAAACCAAATTCATCCCCTAATTTGCCACCTTTAGTGCATCCTGAAGCATTACACCCAAGAGGTTGGCAACATTTTTCTTTTTTATGGTGTATTTTTTGGCGGAAGTAGCTACCAACCCATTTATCAGAATAAATATAATCATATTATAATATGACTATATTTATAATAATTGCATGTCAGTCGATACGCAGTTATTATAAGCGTGTACGATGTTGTGGCACCCTGTAACAGAGCATCATCAAAGACGATCTGTTTAAGCAAGTGCGCTTTACCACTCGCAACAGTTGTGTATGAAGTCAGCGTATGAACCATTGCTCTATAAAAGCCAATTAGTCTTTAATTCAATGAAATCGTTTGCTCTCTGTGGACGATGAATTCTGTCCAGATGCATTAACTTATTAAATCATTCCACTGTCGTTTCATTCACTACACTCAAAATTATGTAGTTGAAGCTATACTTTTATAAACATTGTTCTCATAAATCGCATGATGAATTTTGAAAACAAATGTATGAAACAGCTAGTATAATACATTAGGTGAACTTTAAAAACTATACATTTATCGTAGCAATGGAGCTCCTTTCCAATGAGTTCATCAAGGGAAATACTGCCATCTTACCTATTTCTGCCCTCTTAAGGTGACGAGCGCAATAGCAGTGCCCCATAGGCCCTGAGTGGATGTGCCACTGTTACAGACAAGCGTGTAGCTTACCACCAGGCGCACGATTTATTCGTCCTTCACGCCCTTTTCCCGTTGGGGTAGTTAGTGGGTATATTTCAATTTTTATATTAAAAATTAGTTCTATTTTGGTAATTGAAAGTGATTAACGTAACAATGCAATTATAATAAATATGTCAGACAACAACGCCAATGGCCTGGTCTCAAACTAGGGAATTACCTGTACTATGAGTACCCGAGTGACGGGATCACTATGGGGCACTTCCCAGAATACCAATACCAAAACTAATTTAGAAATTAATCCTACCGGAAATCGAACCCGGGACCCAGCGTCCACAGCGTAACCCGTTGAGCTACCGTGGTCGTCAAAGATGAGTAAAATAATTGAATATATTGATTGATAGTAATTAACACTCATTCCATATTAAATTAAAGTTTGTTTGATGCTAAATTGCTGTAGAACAAAGAAACAGCGTAAATCAAAATAAGTAGTACCAAACGCCAGTGACCAGTCAATCGGTCAGTACCGTTAATTGGACGACATCGGCACACTAATCGCATATTGCGCTTTCCCTTTGGAAAGGATCGTACACCGAAGCTGATTTATACATAAACTGCTAAGTCAACGGTGATTTCGAAATTGTGCCCACCTTTTTCTAAGTCATCGCTTAATCAAGTCGCAAGTCATTTTCGATGGCTATACAATGCGGCAAAAAAGATACAGTTGCTTATGACTCTACATTTTGTTTGTATAATTGTAAGAATAGGTTCTATAAAGTACCCAAGATTCCTAAATCGCAGTTTTCATAAGTTAGTAATTTTCCATAATAATATTTAAATCAACGATATCTATGTACTTTAAGTAAACACAAAAGATCACTTTTATCACAATTAAGAACTAAGTAAACGATTTTATGAAATCATTTTTTATTCAGACCCGCTAAGCTGATCATATGATGACGGTGGCACAAAAGATATGTCTTAGGCATACTGTTAAGTTGCCCCAAAACTGACTGCTTTGCTCTGTTTTTAATGATCGACACGTGTAACCAAACAAAACGAGTAAATGTATAAGCAACAAACGGTAGCTATCGTATTTTTATTCGATCGCACTCGTGACAGACAAAATTGAGTAAATATGTAAGAAACAGACGATAGCTATCGTATTTTTAACCGGCTTTGAAAAAAGGAGGAGGTTCTCAATTCAACTTTGTTTCGTTTTTGTATGCATGTTACGCGATAACTCCTGTATTTGTTAACCGATTTTGATGATTCTTTTTTTGTTGGAAAAAAGGTACCTCGGTAGTAGACACTGGAATTTAAATTAGGCGTGGGTGCCTACGAAATTATTTGACCCTGATGTTTATCGATTGCTAACAAGCGACAGCAACGATCAATAAAATAAAGCAAATATTTCAGCTCATAGATCCATCGATCGTCAAAGCACAGCACGTCGAGCGCCAATAACGACGTCACAAGAGGTATCACTAAAAAACTTGGACATATCGAAAACGCACACTAATGCTGTTGTAGCGCCACTCTGGACTTTTTTTATAAAAAATAGGTACGCATCCTCCATCTCACTTGATGGACAGTGCTGATGAGGTCGACGATGCAGCATGCACACCTAAATAATACCTATTCACTCTCGCCTTAAAAAGGTTCAAATTATAGAGTTCGAGGAATAAGTCCGCAGGTGGGGGATTCCACTCTCTAGCCGCTCGCCAAATAAATGTGGAAGTGAAACGCTTCGTCCGAATCCTCGGAATATCCACAACATAGGGGTGGAATCCCAGCCAACGTCTAGCCCCCGATGATGGAAAGGGGAAGGCGGGATCATGTTATGCAATTAAAAACCGTACTGTTGTAAATATTGCCTATTTAATCCTCCGCCTTAATTTATAGTAGCGTAAGTATATTATGTGAAATTTGCGATATTAAATTATGATTTATTGAAACCGTGACACACACCAACAATGGGGATCACAAGGAAATGCAGATAATGGCGTCACTCTTTGATATGGGTTAATTATTCTAACACAGCTTCTCACGCTGTTTTTTCGGTCGCCCATACATCTAGAAAATCTATCGACCTGTTATTGACAGAACGATATATATTACCGCCATAATGACTATGTTTGCCGTCGAGTGGGTGTGGTGAAATTTCACGTTCACTCGTTGTGTCTGTAGGCAATAATCGAGTGAGTCGTGCACCTCAATACCATGCATATGTTACGCCCAAACACATCGTATTAGCATAGAAATTCCGTAGCCGTATCAAGTTAGGTTTGGAACCCCAAACAATGATTTAATTCATAGCCCTGCGTCGCTTTGAAACAGTAGGAATGATTGCGTAATGTAATTTATTCATTATACCGGTTGGAAATGTTGAGCCGTGACTTAACTGAAAGCAAGGAAAACTTAGTAAGCTAGACTAATTGCCATGAACAGAGAGGTTATGAGTTATGACGTATAATTCTTCGGAAACGTGTGGGTCATGAAATAAAATTAAATAGCGTAGAACGAATATTTGCTAAATTTACTACTAATTTTAACTTTCGTTATTTATGCCGTTGTTCAATAATAATAATAATAATCATTTATTCTCTCCCATTTACAAATAATTTTAAAACACATCCACGTGACTACACAATTACGACCAAGTGAGTACATAGCGGGAGACTGGTGCCCCAATTAGGTAGACGTTGTGATTAGCTTATTTGAAGTGAGTTATATAGTTGCTGAAAAAGAATAAAATAATTAAAACAAAGACTACTTAATTTAATACAATCTTAGTCTAACAGATTAAAAGTTATGAAATGAAAAAAACGTGCGTGCATGCGTGCGTGCTTGCGTGCGTGCTTTTAGAGAATAATTTTCTTTCGCACTCTATTTGCTTCTGTTGAATTTTGCTTAGTGAATTGTCTAGCGCCTTTGATAGTTGTGTTAAATGTGGGGCTATAACTGAACTTGGAATTTTAATATTATTGCAGGATGTGGCATAGAATGCATTCGCTGTGGCGTAGACGGGTGCATCAAGTGCGCCCAGTTGCTGGTCTGGCCCGATGGTAACTGCGTTGTCGACTGCCCCTCCGGTACCCGGGAGTCCTGGGCTCATGATGATCACCTCATGGGCCGAATCTGCTACCCAGCTCACACTTATAACGAGGTTTTTTTACCATTAACACACATAATTATGATTTCTGTTCTGTTCAATAATCGATAGGTAAAAATTTTCTATAACGGTCACTAATATACAGAGATTTCGAACGCGCTCTAAAATCTATAAGTTAGAAATGTATCTACTGGGTTTAGACTATCCGTCTCTGGCGACAGTAGTGGTATTTCAGTTAACTTGGTGTGAGGCTGGTAATACAGACCTTTTAAGTAACTTCTTTATCATGTCACTCACTCACTTATTTCATGTCAGACATGTCCTTCTCACGTCATGTCCAGCCTTTTCAAAAGGCTGTTTTTTTTCTTCTGTTATTTATCTACCTGATGTAATGATAATAATACATTATGTACTCGTCATGTTGCCCATACCAGCCCATCACACACCATACCATATCAAGTGAAATGAGATCAGGATATCAAATTGTACACAACTGCTTATCGTTTAATCGCCGCGGATGGGGCAACAACGCCTTTGATACACATACTATAAGGAAATGTTTTTTTTATCAAAAATAGGTGCGCATTTGCAATCCATCTCACCTGATGGAAAGTGATGATGAGGTTGAGGTCAGGTTTCATTTCAAATGTTAATCCTATTACAACATTTTATAATAATTTTCTAGTACATTTATTTCAAGTAACAATAGTCTTGTATGTGTTCATATATACTCGTATGTATATAGGTACAAAGAATGTGCATTTGTTCTATTATTAGTTAAACTTAAAACTTAACTATACATAGGACGCGTGTAGCTCACAACAGTGTCGAGTATAAGACCATTTATCCCTATCCCTTAAGACGCGGAGAGCAGAGTTGACCCCTTTCACGCAAAGTGGAGTCAAAAACGTCCACACGCGCCAACATACCTGACGCGTTACAGTAATGGGGCATCCCCATCAACACTCAGAACGGGAATACTTTTCATGAACAATTTCAAGATTATTACTTTACCTACGGTTAAGCCGGAAGTTTACACACTTATTATAAATAGCAATTTATAAATTTCTACTAAAATTGTTTTCGAACTATGTAATTTCTAAAGCCAAGATTTATCCATCCTAGTCTAGCCTTCTAACAAACAAACGTTAAAAAATAAATCAAGATAAAAATTTATGTTTCATGTTTCATTTGCTTTTCAAAAACTAACTTCAGTTTTGGTACATTTAATGATAGGTGGTTTCAATCCGTTTTGTCTGCGCTTGTTGGCTCAACAAAACGGATTAGTTAGTACTGCCGTAAAGATTTTGTATACATGTCTGGTTAGGTATGATTTATGCGTTTAGATTCCATTAAGTGTTTCCATGAATAACTTCGTTATGACGTTAACTTTAAAACTAATAATCTGCTCTGTTTAGTTTATTAGCTTATATAAATTTAGTAGAAACAAAAGGCTGTTCTGAGATCATGATCATGGATAAATATACCAATCACTGTAACGTATTTTGAACATATTATATTTAAAATTACGTATGTATGTGCCATAATTATATGAATTTATATTAAAAGAATTTAAAAATAGTGCTTATCGGCTTTTAATAACTCAGGATAAATTCTTTATTACATCAACTTCGATGCTCTTGTACTGACCTAAAACTTGAGAGATCCACATTTTATTAAATTTGCTGAAACTACGAATTTCTTTCGATCGTCTTGTGGACCATAATGTGATAAGTATATACGTATTGCCACGTTCTCTGTGATGTTACGTATATTGCGTTTAGATAAGAATTATTTTATATGCTTACGTACTTTGTACCGGTTTATAAATATAATTTTGTTTCAAAATTGTACAGGTATTAGTAGGTGGTGCGTGCGGTGCGGCAGCGTGTATAGCGCTTGTTGCCGCGGGTGCAGCGTACGCTCGTTGTAGGAGTAACTCACGAGCGCGAGCGCAACCTTTGCCGCAACGCTCGCGTGATGATGACGCACGACTGCATGAGTTCCATAAACAGCTGGACTGTTTGAGAGTGAGTATATTTTATAGAGAATGCTAGGAATTTACAATTAAATAACTCTATATTGACGACCTCTAAGTGGCCGAGAGGCTTGCGCACCGGTTTTCACAGTATCGCCATCTCTTAGGTCCAGGGTTCGTTCTCGAGCCGGCTCAATGTAAAAAATTAACTTTCAATATTGTGTCGAGTTTGAGATTTTATGGCACTCATTGTTTTCGATTTCCATTACACAGGTGCTTTAGCTACTTACTTACTTTAGGATCATAGCAACGCATGTAACATTTTCTAATATTTATTTAATATTTACCTATATTATTTGTAAGAGTACGTTCCGTGTTTAAATTGCTTTTACTATATTTGTTGATATATCTATGAAATTTTTAATAATAGGTAACGAGGCGTATTAACAATATTGGCAATATTTATTTTATTTTTAATTTTTCATCATTGCAAGCAAAATAGAAGCAATGTAGATGCTTACTTAATTTACAATTTAGTTCAGTTATTTAACCTTTCAAAGACACATTTACATTAATTATTCTAGTCTAACTAAAAGCGAGGTTTAACTAGCAAGTTCGCACTTCTCACAGCTCAAAGATTCGCCCGAGAAGGAGGACTTAGTTCACGGAGGTTAACTCAGCGTGAAATTATAAACCACAAACTAACATTACTTTCTTCGTGACACGGCAACTGGTAAGCGTCATAAAACGAAATATCAAAGGGATGCAGCGACGATTCAATCAAAGAAAGTGTTACAACCTTTAAGTCATAACTTCGTATAATATCTAGCATTATATCACATTTTATATATTCGACAATAAATCATCTTTCAATCACTTTTACTAAGAATGTATTTAAATTTTTTTAGGCTAAACATTCTTCGTTTAATCGAGCTTTTGATAAAGGGCCAGATTAAGTAATTATAGTAGACATTAAACAGACGACATGCGATTTTTTTTTGATGACACCAAGCGACGGGACGAACATGTCGCAATGCCACTCAGAACTTTAAATCGCAGAGATCTGAGGAGTACTGCGACTGCGCCCGGCACTCTGAAAGTCGTATTCCAGAACTCTACTCAATGCTCAAGTCAGGACTTGAGCAGACTTGAGTATGATTTTCAGTGCTCACTGCAATACTCAAGTCCTGACTTGAATATTGAGTAGAGTTCTGAAATACGACCCTAAGACTCAGAGAGTTGTCAAGTCCCATGTGCCTGTAATTTCACCAGTACCCTTACCATTCAAACGTAGTAACGCTCACATTACTGCTTCGCGACAGAAATAGGTAAGGTGGCAATACTCCCTGGACGAACTCTTTCACAAGGAATTCTACTGCTTCTAAAGATTGCAATTCAGTTTCATTCAACATATTTCGTTCCTATTCAGTGATTACATAAACCTTATAAAATAGTTGTTATTTAGTAATAAGTAGATATATAAGTAAAAAAACACGGCATGTTAAAACTTAACATCAGGTGGAGTGGAGTCATTTGCCTGTCAGGTATAAAAAAAAAAAAAAAAAAAAAACGAAATTAACGTTGCATGAATACGGGTACAATCACACCGTAGAGAAACGTCGTAGACGATTTAATCGCAGATATCTCTCGCTTTTGAAAGTTGTGAAATGGAAACCGTTGTATTAGCTGGTGACATTTTATTTATTCATTGATAAGGCGTGTCCACACTTGTGGTATACATACCTAAAGCTTGTTAACATCCTATCTGCTCTCAAAATATACTTCCGCGTTCCAAACATTACTTGCTATACCTATTTATATTTATGCGCTAAATACATTTAAGTACGTTGTTGAACTACCGATGAATACGATAAATAAATTTAAAAATGTTTTAGGGTCCCGAACCTAAACAATAAACAAAAAAACCTTATGTTGATACTTCGACGTACGCGTGTGTGTCACGGCTTTATTTCTCAGAAACTGTTATTGCCAACGACTTGAAATTTGGCATAGTTGTACAGCTTCGCTACCGCATCCATACTAGGTGAATAATTCTAGAAATATTTATACTTTTATATAAGTTGAATTTAAAATGTGGTATCACAAACTTCAATTGAAGCAAAACTGTATCTATTCAGAGATTTTTATATAAAAAATCTTTATATATTCTTTATTCAAATTAGTTTTAAAAATTGTGGCATTTTTTTCATTTCTTCAAGAACAATCAAATGACTGAATTTTAAGTATATGATTTTTTTCATAATGTTGAAAAAGAAATATTTTTAACGATGAAAAATTGAAAATAAATCTCATTGCACGCAATAAGGAAAAATCCTCTGTCGCGAACTTTGCTTGCGCTATGTTTTTTTTTAATATTTTTGAGTTGCTTTCACAAACATTATATTTACAAAATATTCTCAAAGCTTTAACTTATAGTGCTGTCAATTATCAAGGCTAATTAAAACTTTAAAAATGTTTGAGAGTCAACTAATCTATTTAACAAAAGAAAATAAGGACAATTTAAATTTCTAAGTCAGATGAATAATAAGTATAGAATTTTTATGTATTCATTAAAAATAAGTAGCAACTTCGAGGATATTATTTGTTTTTCAATAATATTTGTAAATAATATTTGTTTTTTCATGGTTTTGGGCAAGCACTCAATCACAATATCTTCTCATTAAAAAACAGTAACAGTAAAAGTGGTATATTTACAACATTATGAGGTGGCACCGTGTTCTTTTGGTCGATTTGCCAATGTTTCATGATTCTCGCACGCGCATAACTACGAAAAGAATACACACGCTCGTGTGTTCTTGGAATGCGCCCGCGTCGATTTCTGACAAGTAAATTGTTTGTAATTGAATACTCCCTGTGTAGAGTGCTTTTAAAACACTCTGTTTTTAGTTATTGCATACATTTCAAAGTGTTTATGAAATAAGAAGTCCGAGAAAATTGGGTTTGAAGGTATTTAAAAATAGAAAACAGGTAATAATCATTTATGTATTACAATTTATAGTAAATAATGTAGCTGTAGCTTCTTCAATTACACCAGGATTTACACATTGTCTATAAATCAAATTTTATGTTTTTACCATATTGTAGACTTTTTAAGAAACTGTACTTTTTAAGAGCACTTTATGAAAGGGTTCGTCCACGGAAGGACCTAACCTAACCTAACCTGTTTCTGCCGCCAAGCAATAATGTGAGCATTACTGCGTTCCGGTTTTGAAGGGTAAGGGTGCTGGTGAAATTACAAGCCCATGAGACTTGTCAACTTATGTCTCAGGGTGTTGGGCGCAGTGGCAGTATCCCTCAGATCTTTGCGATCTAAAGCTCTGAGTGACTCTGCAGCTGCTATGGACAGGTGTGTCGCTTACCACCAAGCGTACGACTTGTTCATCCCGTCACTTGGTATCAAAAAAAACTAAAAGAGTCTTTAACAATTACAGCCTCACGCGTACACTCTACTGGCGATACTAAACCACACACGGCATCAAGTGCGAGAACTCTACCAGCTCGGAAATAAAGATGCTGCAATGGCTTACAGGTGATCGATTATTAATTAATAATGCGCTAAGGTATGTACTTTTTTCTATAAGAATACAGACAGCACATCAAGACATTGACGGATCTTGTTCTGATACATTGTGCTGTTATATCAACCTATACATTATACCTATGTAATATTATAACTAATAATATAATAATAATATAGAATATATTATAAAATAATATAATATTACAAAATTATAATATATTATATCTACTTAATTGAAAAGTAACGAATATAAGGATACAATTGATCTTATGAAAACATTCAAAGTTAATAAATAGGACTTCATAAGCAATAGTAGCTACTATTCAGGCACCTAAAATATCTCAAAAACATAAACCAAATTGTTTTACAGCTCGTAAAATTGTTAATTATACAGGAATGCAGGTTTTAATGGAACAAAAGCTATAAAGACCGTGCTTTTACAACGTATTCACTGCATCAATGTTTCGTCACTGCGCACGCGCGCCTTCCGGTGTTTATTTACCTTTCTGGGGCTATTGTACACTGTACAATACTGTACAATATTGTACAGTGCACCGACAGTAAGGAACTTCCCAGTTATTGAACTTAACAAACTTATATTTTATAGCTCCTACAGTGTCGGTTATAAGTGTATTCTAAAAAATGCTTCGGTAAAGATTTAGTAGGTTTTTCAATTAAATAAGAAGAAGCAGAATTTAGCGCCTAGCATTAGGAATAGATGAATTGATGGTCATAATAATGAACACTTAAATACTATACGGGTCTGTACGGACCAATGATGATTCACATTTTTGTTTATACTAAACGCATCTAAAACGTTACCATCCCCTCCTACCGTGTACCTGCCTAATTCTTTAGTGTCTGCCAAACAGTGACAAGATGTTGCCGCATTTTTTCTAGTTTTCAAGTCTTTAATATACACGGGTCCGTAAGTCATAATCGTATTAGAGTATGTAATTTCTACTCAAGTAATTTTTTTGTAGGTAATAACTAAATGCTCATTGAATTTATATATTGTTTTGATTCTGTACTTATGTCGTTTGAGTTTATGTGAAAAGTATTACATCAATTTATTGAGGTTTTGTCTTTTATTTTTATCATAATTTGTTCCGTTTTGCTATAGGTACCTAACGCGTTCGTTGCCATGCCTGCAATGTTTTTTTTAAATCATTTAAATGTACTCAATTAGTAGCTTTTATACCTACCGTACAGAGTAATGAGTAATCATAAAATGGTTTATGTACCTACATATTTCCGTGACAAAAAATTCGTGTAAATAATAAAAATGTAAATATGCAATTTGAGATAATTTTAAATAAAATAAACAAGTAAATATTCAAAATCACACCATATCTACAATATGTGGGCTCCATCTACTTACAACAAACAGAACAGATCTCTCGCGTAGTGTAATTATACCGCCCTAATTTATGTACTCTTTGGTAGTTGCGTGTTGAGCGATCTGGCGAAGTTGCTGATCCTTCTGAACAAGCAGCAAGTGCCTGTCGTTCCAGATGAGTGGCCGAGATTAGCTAGCTGGGCTGAAAGGTACGTTATATACCTATATGTATAGGAAATTAAACTATTTTTCCGGATTTAAATCGCGTATATTTGTTTTGTGAAACCAACCGACGTTTCGGGCCCTTTATAGATCCCAAGGTTGACTGACTGAGTCAACCGTGACCATGGGACCTGTAAAGGGCCCGAAACGTCGGTTTGTTTGAAAAAACAAATATACGCGATTTAAATCCGGAAAAATAGTTTCATTTCCTATGTGTAACAATCGCGAAAACCTAAGAACTCGATACCTACATGTAGTTTGGTAAATTTATTTACATATGACTCCACAATAGCACCACACAAATACTTTCGAAAAATAAAAATTTTCATAATAGGATAAGTACATACCATAAAAGACAAATTTTTCCTAGGAAAATAAAATAAAGATAATTATAGTGATCTCGAATCGAATCGATCGAAAGATCTCGACTGATAACGTCTACGCTTCGACCAATACCTGCACAACTCCAAAACCCCGAGAGCTTTCAACTCTAACTTCAGAAGCGCTTCGAAGCCTTCGAAAACAGCATAGATGTGGACGATCTAAACAACATGGTAGTGAATACTGTCCGGACGGTTGAGTCCAAGTTTTTCAAAACCCACCATACCAGAACGAAGAAACTCTTAAACAAAACACTCCAACTCATGGAACAGAGACGTGCAATGAGGATACAGAACATAGAGGATGGAAGTCTCTACAAGCGGCTAAATAGGCGAAGTCGATCTATCGAAGTCTATCGAAATCTTTGAGTAGCGACATACGCCAATTTAATACAGAGCTTATTAAAGAGGCCATTGAGCGGAACAAAGGCTCCAAGGTGTTCGGGAGAGATCTATCTATTGGGCAAGGCCAATTGTCGAAGCTGAAAACTGATGACGGTAGCAACATTTCATCTAAGCCTGAATTCCTGAGGAAGTTAGAGAGTTTCTATCAACAGCTGTACTCCACCAAAGCACCTGTTGAAAGCGAGGCTAAAGACCCCAGAGCCAATCTTACCCGACATTATACCGAAGATATCAGGGATGTCAGTGTATGAGATTAGTGTGTCTCTCAAACAATTCAAGAACAACAACGCGGCGGGCGATGACGGAATCACTACAGAAGTTTCGAGAGTAGGCGGCAAGCCGATACTTAAAGTCCTCCAGAAGCTTTTCAATTCTGTCATCGTCGAAGGTCAAACGCCGAAGGCATGGGGCAGAAGCGAGGTCGTCCTGTTCTTCAAAAAGGGTGACAAAACACTCTTGATGAACTATTGGCCAATCTCGCTTCTGAGCCATATCTATGAGTTGTTTTCGAGAGTTATCACGTATCGTCTCGCTCGCAGGTTTGACGACTTCCAACCTCCCGAACAAGCCGGTTTTCGAAAGGGTTTTAGTACCATAGACCACATCCATACGCTGCGGCAGGTTATACAGAAGACCGAGGAGTATAGCCGACCACTAAACTTAGCGTTTGTGGACTATGAGAAAGCCTTTGATTCGATCTAGACCTGGGCGGTGCTACAGTCTCTCCAAAGGTGGTATCGAGGTGTTAACGTAGTTATACAAAAACGCCACTATGTCAGTCCGATTACAGGATCAGAGCTCTAGTCCTATCCAACTGCAACGAGACGTGAGAGAGGGAGATGTGATATCTCCGAAATTGTTCACTGATGATATTTATATAGGATATTTTCAAGTTTCTGGGCTGGAAAGGACTTGGCATCAACAACAACGGCGAGTATCTGACACACTTTCGATTTGCCTATGATATAATTCTTATGGCTGAGATCTTGGGAGACCTGAACACAATGTTCGAAGATCTCAGTAGTGTTTCTCAAAGAGTGGGTCTTAAGATGAACATGGACAAGACGAAGATCATGTCGAATGCCCATGTTGTACCCGCTCCAGATAAAATTGAGAGCACTACACTCGAAGTTGTTGACCATTAGTATACCTGGGACAGTCAATCCAGTTAGGCAAGTCCAACTTTGAGAAAGAGATCTCTCGTCGAATCCAGCTCGGATGGGCAGCATTCGGGAAAGTACAAAAAATCTTCGCGTCCAAATTTATTACCTCAATGTCTCAAGACGAAAGTCTTTGACCAGTGTGTGTTGCCAGTGATCACATATGGATCAGAAACGTGGTCCCACACTATGGACCTCATAAGAAGGCTCAAGGTCACTCAGCGGGCAATGGAAAGAGCGATGCTCGGTATTTCCCTACGTGACAGAATCAGAAATGAGGAAATCCGTAGGAGAACTAAGGTAACCGTCCCCGTCGTGCCACGAGTGCGGCGCTGCGGATGACACCGCGCAGCACACCCTAGAGGTGTGTAGCCGGTGGAATGAGCAGCGCCGCACTCTGACGGGGACTGTAGGGCAGGACCTCTCGCTGCCGAGCGTGGTTGCCGCCATGCTCGATAGCGAGGAGTCCTGGGAGGCGGTGGCCTCCTTTTGCGCAGAGGTTATGTCGCAAAAGGAGCCCGCGGAACGGGTGCGCGAGGACGCGCCGGACGCGCACCCGCTCCGGCGCAGACGTACGGGGAGAAGGCAGTTCGCTGCTCGCCTGATCCCCTAGTGAGATCAGCGGGCTCTGGACAGGGACTCCGGAGCCTGCATTGCACGGCCTCACTCGTCTGGGAGGCGGGTCGGAGGACAACCGACTCGCCCCTCCGTTGGCGCGGGAGCCCTGGCGTAAGCTAGGGCGGCCGGGCGGCGTCGTGGTGAATGTTCACTGATCCCATGGCGCCGACTCAACCGGCGAGAGGGAAACCCGGGGGGGTTTTAGTGGGGTAGGCCCTCCAGTCTGGAGGGAGAGTCCCCACATAACCCGTGAGTCTCCCTGGGCTCAGGGGTATCCTTAAAGATTTCCCCCCCGTCAAAAAAAAAAAAAAAAAGGAGAACTAAGGTAACCGACATAGCTCGAAGAATTGCTCAGCTGAAGTGGCAGTGGGCGGGGCAACCGATGGCCGTTGAGGCGAAATGGTTCTTCAATGGCGACCGTGCACCGGACGATGCTCAATGTGTAGGCCCCCTACCAGGTTAACCGACGATCTGGTAAAGGTCGCGGGAAGCCGATGGATGCGGCCAGCGCAGGACCTATCGTCGTGGAGATCGTTGGGGGAGGCCTATGCCCAGCAGTGGGCGTCGTCTGGCTAAATGATGATGATGATGATGATGATGATGATGATGTTGATATCTATTAATACAGGGTAATTTAGAAAAAATATTTGTATTTTCCAGGATACTAAAGCGCTACAGCCGAATGGGAGTTGGTCAAGAAGGTCAATTAATAAATTTCCTACCGTCTCCACCGAGTCAGTCCTCAGATTCCGGGACACAGCAGTCTTTCTCCACATTTAAACCTCCGTCCTACTCCCCCACATCGTATGACAGCAACATAGAGAAAGAGATCGAGAGTGAATGGAGTGACGTTAGACCGCCAAGCTATTCTCAGATAGAAAGTGAAACTATAGTTCTCTCAGATCCTTGGGAGAGAAGACCTATCGTACGACGAGAAAGTGTGTGGTTGGAAGACGAATTATTTGAAATGACAAGACGACCTCAAGATGAATTGACTACAGAACTTTAACCTGAACACTACTATGGGTTTGTACCACATTTTATGTGATTTGGGATTCTTAAATACATTTTAAGAACATTTAGAAATAAGTGTAAGATACGTCATCCGCAAGTTCCGTCAACGCATTCAAAATAACTAATTAAAAATTATCTTTGTATCAGCAAAGCTTGTGACAGGTCGTCACCAATTTCGACATTTTCAGTCAGAGTTCACTATTTTGATCTCTGTTGCGATAGGCAAGTCCCGCTTGACTTAATTATGTAGGTAGGTACACTTTTAAATAGGTTTCAGCAAAACGCGTGATTACTACAAATTACATTTTGTGATAGGTACAAAATAAACATTCACAGTAAGAATAATTTATTCTTAAATTAAGTAATGTCTCTATCTTAATTTTATAATTTTTTCACTGGTAATGACGATGATTTTTTGCGAATTTTATGATACCTAGTTTCGAAGCAAACCAAGTGTCTTAAAGAATCAAACCGACAATAGGTTCTTTGAAATCCTATTTAAGTATCGATTTAACATTATCGGGAACATGAAATTGTAAACTACTTACCACCATTTTTGTTATTACATGATCCATTATGAAATATGCCAGTGATAAACTTAAAATTAAAGGACTACAAGCATTTTTGACAAAGCTGATTTATTTAACAGAAAAAAGCATACCTATCTAAATTGGGAATGAATTATTACCTATACACTATACCTAATAAATAAGTTTAATAAAGATAATGTCACTTAACTACTTAAGTTAAAATCTTGTTTCGAATAATTTTGAGATTCACAGTAAGTATAGTTACGTTCGTATACCTACTGTTATTAATATGTGGTCATGCTGCGTGACACTGTTGATTGCAAATATAATTAATTGTATGTTGTACCATTTTGTACCTGTACCTACTAATAAATATTTTGTATGTTATTCTAGATTTATAGTATACTTATAGAAATATTTTATTACGCTTGGATAAGTATGTGTTTCTATGTAACTACTCGTTGTTCAAGTGTATCGTATTTCGATTACATTAAAATGCTTTAGATTTAGTTAATCAACCAAAGTAGGTAGTCCTAATTCATTTAGTTTTCTAGTCCCGGTAACAAATTAATACTGATGAAACAACGAAAAATATTAATTTTCTTGCACGTTGTATTGGATAATGTCACTGCAAAATTTTTAATTGGGTAGGTATTTAAATTCTTGTTAAATTTTGTTCATCGTGAATAATTATACAAAATAAATGACTTTTCTACCTATGAATGTTTTATTAATCAAGCATACGAGTCAGTGAGAAATTAATTCATTTGAAGCGAGTTATTTCCCTTTGCAGTTCGCCATATTCATTTTAACTCTCCTCAATTGATGATTGTAACCACAAATTACCGATAGTCAATGCTTACTCCGATGACAAGCTCTGCTTTCGAATCCAAGAGCGTGAATATATGTATAATAATTAATGGTCGGAAAAACGTGTTCCACATAAGCATAGATACATGTATAGATATAGCTACAACGAACGACATAGAGTTGTTAAAGCCACCAAATATTTATTTAATCCTTTTTTTTAATTCCGGATTTCCGGATGAAAATCAAAAGTCAAAAAAAAGTCAAAAATGGCATTTTTCGTCTTGCTTAAGTGTCCAGCAGTTTTTTTTTTTTTAAGTATTAAAATAATCAAGTGTGACTGTTTTCCTTTTTAAAATACGACATTTCTGCTATTGGTTTGACTTTATGAACATTTATCGAGTTCTTAGGTTTTCGCGATTGTTACACATTTGTTATACAGTATTGTTTAATTTTATTAAAATATTTTTAGAGTGCGATCACAACAATTCCCTTTAAACTAAAATGTCCTAAAATTTTAAATAAATCTTCCTGTAAGTTCTACAAGCAAATGTTGCCGTTCCGTCAATGTGACCGTCAATGTGCGGTATTTAAAGCTAGGAAGGGGCGGAGACCATTCTCTTTACTTTTTTATTCTCAGTTTTGGTAAACGGTCAGTTATTTACTGCATTTTTTAGAGGACACCATTACATTTACTTTAAAATCCAACATCGACTTCCTAGGTCTGTAGTTTTGTACTACGATGCAGTAAAACCATTTCCGGAAATGCGGAATTCGAAACAGTAATTAATTAATATTTGGTGATTTTAACAACTCTATGTTGCTCCTTGTAGCTATATCTATATATTTGTAACACCTTTTTCAAACATTAATAATAATATATATTACGCATGTAAGCGAACCACTTATTACTGTTTTATCATTGACCTATTTTATTCAACCTAATTCTTTCTATCCTCCTCCAACATTACAATGCAAATTTTATTTCAATATTCCCTGTAAGTTTACGTCATTGTCCACAATACGAATACGGTAAAAATACCCAGTAGCCAATGCCTGACAAATTTTAAGAAACGTGAATGCCTACGTAAATGCGTCTTTTTTCCACAGTTCTTGCACGAAATAAGAAAAAGAGACTATAAGAAAGAGGCTATTAGCAAATACTATATTTCGTCTCACTCTACTCACTGATGATGACAAATATCAGAAAAGTGAAACCCATTTTGACAGTTTGTTTTTGCGTACGATTTGCGGAAGAGGCTTTTCACACTTTTGCAATAATTTTAATAAAAAAAATCAGGGAATTTTCAGCAGAAAAGTGAAACTAAACATCTCTTATATACAGTAGTTGAAGCTCCAAATCATAAAACGTAAAATTATTGTATTAAATGTAATCATGTGTATACAATATTTACTGTGCTGTGGTGTGTTACAATGTATAACGGTAATTTTATAAATAAACGTGTATTTATAATGCTTTTATTTTTGTGTGACCTTTATTGTGATTCTGCTTTCATACATCATCGAGCGCCCACAGCGATTTGTGAAAGTAATTAGGATTTTTTTTATATTTTCATAATATGGTTTTGTTCGACTGTATCCTGATTAAACAAGCTTTGTTCGACGCTTATCAAATTATGGAAATAATCTTCCGTTTCAGCTGTCGCATTGATATACACTCAGTTTTGATTTTGGAGATATTGTCAAAAACAAAGCCAAATGGTGAGTGTTGTATTAAGTACTGTTTTTTCGTTCATTATAATGACTTTATATTGTAATTCGGAGTCTTTAAATAACCAAGCATTGTACTGTTTGTAGCAGTTGATTGAGAAGCTTGAGATGCTTCAGTATTGAGGACATCATCACTTAAATGAATTGTGTGGAATGTTAGCCATGTTGTGCCTCTGCTAATTAAGAAAAAAAAATCATTGTAAATTCAATTGTTTTTAGCTTAAAGAGAAACTATATTATTTATTGATGTGCCCAGTGCTTTTCGTATCACAAGTTGAACATATTTAATATATATGTACTATTAATGTTAAGTTAGTATAAATAAAAACTCAATATCAAAATTAATACATAATGAAAGGACATTTTTCCACTTAAACATAATGTTATCTTAATAAGTAATATTTATATGTATATATAGCCTCTATATATAGCTATAAATAAAATAAAAGTTTTTAAAGCCCTATCAGTGACACAAAATTTATAAAAGGTAGTACTAGTATTGTACTTTTAACATTTCTTTCTGCTATTTTATTTACTACTGTGTTGCCTACTTATTTTTCATAAAATTTGTTAGCATCTCATCTTCATAAACAATTTTGTCCTCTTAACAGATTACATACTGATTGTATGTCTGCATCATTACATTGTTCAATTAAACTGTAAACTTATACTATTTGTTTCAGCTTTCAATTGTGATTGAAGTTAAATTTTTGGCTACCACAAATTTCATACATTTGGTTCAACATGAGGCAACTAGCAGCTTGGTTAGTAGTGATCCATGTTTTTTCTTTTTTAACTCTTGTCTAATTTGTCAAGGAATGAAGGGGAAAATATGTTACCATATATCCTTTTAATCAAACTTTATCTTTTTGAAATATAGGGGATATTTAATTTGCATTTATGTTAAATGATCATACTAGTTTTTATGTACATTTAATACTTGATACCAATCTAATATTAACCTTTCAATAATCACTTTAGTAATTTTTTTCCTATTATTAATTAATTACCTTTTATAGGTAATTTCGTTTCATTGCAATGTGCTTTATTACTTGACTGGTATCACAATGGCCTTCTTTCTAAAATAACCCAAAGAATAGAAAAAAAAATGTTTAATATGTATGCCTATGAGGTGTAATGATTTTGAATTTGTTTTATTATATCATTTTTTGTTGTATAAAAACATTCAATAATATATAAAACAGAAATGCAAGCAACACTATTTAGACACAATACTTAATAAATTATGTTATTCTGTGGAAATCCATGTTAATGACAATGGAAGTAAATTACTTTGCTCTTTGCTCAGACGACTGAGCGTCAAACAATAAACATCTCCCGAGGACACCTCATAGAGAGGTGAAACACTTATCGAGTGTATTTTTGGAGTTGGTGTGTATTTATATTATTTATTTCATTAATTTTATGTGGAGGCAGGGTGGGAAAACTAACTGCAAGAAAAAATATTCCACACCAGCGCAGCACAATTGAATCTTCACTGGATTTTCTGAGTGGCAAAGTATTTTACTTCTATAATTATTAACACAATAGCTTTCTGATTGCTATAGTGTCCTTTTTACATTCTTCACACTTATTTTACCTTAACAGTACCATGCAAACTGGTAGTTTCGCAAGCACATGTTTACTCAAAGGCATTATGTATGTTATATTATGAAACAGTGTATGTAACGACCTTGTTTGATGGTTGAAACATGAAACAATACGCGTTTATACCCCATGCACTACTGCGAATATCAATTTATTGATCTAGTAGTAACAGTATCAACCATCTACCATCCAGTTTCGCATTCTACTTTAAATTTGAAAGAAAATCTTCAAAAAAGTTATATTTCTTGCTCAGAAGGCATCAAACAGAATCAAATTTAAAAATTTTGTATTCTAAATTCATTGAGAAACTTCCTCACTCTGCAAGGTGCATCATCAACTTTGTGGCAATACCCTCAAAATCTCCGATTGGTGGTGGATGGTTACTAGCGCATTTAATATTTATACTTGTTGATTGAAGGATCACCTAAAACATTACAAAATAGTTTAATTGTCACTAATAAATAATATACAGTAATAAATAATAATAATGGGGAAACCCTGTATGGCAGGTAGATAATAGGGATCAAAGCACTGAATGGTATATAATATAGTATTGCAACAAAAAATATTTTAGAAAAAAAGGTTTATTTGATCATAATATCAATATGTTCCTGCCTTGCTTGAAGGCTCATGCATGCTTGTTGCAAGCTCATTTATTCCCTTTCGGTGAAATAGTAGCAAACGGCAACCCACTAAGTCTTGGAACTCATTTTCGACTGGTTCACAGGAGATAAGTTATTTATGTGTAGATAATTATCTGTATATCTATATAGATAGAGAAATATATGGTAATCAATCGGAGCTAAATCTGGCGAGGCAGTGTAATCGTCTTTAATGTTTCGAGCTCCTGTGCCCCGCACTGTAACTGGTATTAAAAAACAACACGGAAATTAACATATCCTTGTTAGATTTCATAGTGAATACTCAATTAATCGAAACGAAAACAACAACGTAAACATTTTGAAATCATGAGTGTGTAAAAAAATTAAAATTATTATATATAATTTCACACATCAGCACCAAAACAAAAAATTTTTTTCAAATATGATTGATTTGCTTAAATTTTACAAGCTTTCAATATAACTTCCCTCTATTCTGTATAATAATAATAACACAGACACTCATAGCCCTGCACTAGGGTAATCCTGTGTCGCGGGTGCCATGGACACACAAATAGACAACCACAAGTCACACCCAGGGTCCCAAACTCACGAGAGAAATAAATGTAGGCCATACAAATATTTCTCCCGGCCCTCCTGCCTCCTGTGTGACATACCAGCATGGTAACCTCTCGGCCACAGAGGTAGTATAAACATATCACAATGGGGTATAGTCCTGGGATTCTATTCTCGCTTCACCCCATTCGCACGTGTTCCTCCGTTCCATGATATACTGAAGTAAGGCGGAATTATGCAGGTACCAAAAAAAAATCAGCTCCTACGACAAAGAAGAATGGGAGACAATGGTAGAACAGCTGCTGATGCGCGGCACCTACCGCCGTCGCATCGTTGATTTCTCCACTCACGCTAGATCCTACCTCATTGATGTGGACTTGGTCAGAGGTACGTTACATAATACAAAAAACAATAGACTCTACGCATGTACCACAAATTCGCGCGGCGTCAAGACTAGAGGCACACTTTTACGAACCATACAGTTCTGATGCGCAACTAATGTACTTGCACAGAGACGGGGTATATGCGGGGAAGCGAGTGCCGCGTGCCCACAAACGCGCTTATAGTTTCTTTTATAAAATTGTTCACTATCGCGAAAACTGAAAACATCTAAAAATAAAGTATCAGGCAAATATTTGGCAGTGCAACACATACCTATGCAAATCTTATCTATTATTGTTGATAAATGATTACGTTATATTTTTCATTTTATAACAATCTTCGCATATTTTCTTATGACAGCGTAAGTACAGTCAACAGCAGATCAAGCTATACATATTATATACTTTTGTTCGAATATGGCCTCCAGTGCAACGGAACAAGACCCGTCAATGTGTAACTTGATGTACCGCCGTCTGTACATACACGGATGGCGGTACCGCCGAACAACAAAAACGTTGGTCTACTGTAGGGGAGATATTGTAATACTTTGCCAGAGGATTACGACATTTGATTGACGCGATGTACAAAAGTGTGACTCCCAGGTACATTAGCGTTAACTATCGCAAGCATGAAAATTCATTTAAATAAACTGGAGAATGTTCTTTACAAAACTTAATTTGATCAATGTTGCGCCATTTGCATCCAATGCCTCCCTACAGCTTCCCAACCACGGGCCGCGAAAGAGAGGTCCTGCGTAGCGTCTTTTAAACGTGGTACACCATCTTTTTTTCCTTTACAGGTTCTTCATTCGTCAAAGCAAAACCCACTCTGGGTATGCGACGTGTTGTATGGTATGCACTGGTCAGGCTGTTATTCCTACCCGCTTTGTACCAGTGGTGGGCGCAACAAACCTCCCCAGCCTGCGCAAAATTCCTGTTAGCGATATGGTGTATTCAAGTCCTCAATATCACCTTGTACTTTCTATCGCCTGCGTCCGTAGGTATTGATGTAAGTAATTCAAACAGTACACAGATTAATTATAATAAATGGAAACCTTTGAATGATTTTTAACATTTCCACATATAAAATCATCGCACTGTTATCTCACTTTCAATACAATAACATATTTTTCATTTTAATTTTTGGAAATAAATAAAAGTCACAAGGTGCCAGGTCGGGATTGTACGCGGAATGGCTCATAAGGACAACCCACTTCTAAAATGACGCCACAATGTAAAAACTTATAGTGCGCCCTATGTAGGTATATTATGTATACTTCCAAGAAATTCCATTTTTAAAGTTCAAGCAGTTGAGATTCCTAACAATAAATTTAAAAAACTTTCGTTGTACTCAGGTTTTATTTAGATTTGACTTATTTGTAGTTCATTATTTCTCCTTTCAGCCCAATTGCTGGCTGGTACCCTTAGGACTGATGGTGGTATTGAGTGTAGTGCACTCTCAAATAGTGAGTACAACGGAAATGGAACTCGCAAGAGTCCGACCACGCTCCAATTATCGCAGAAAACTTCCTAGATATTTCAGGTATCTACCAATTATTTACTATTTTTTTATTTATTTGTCAGGATGTTGGATTGTGATGAAAATAAATATTGAAATGCTAAAGAAATTATTTGAAATCACAGCAGCGAAATTATAACCCTGACAATAAAAGTAATCATACTACTTGTTTTAAGTACGAGTTGCTGTCTTACTGGAGTGATCGATTACCGATAAGTCAAAACTTAAGACAATCCTATGTCAAAATGAGTGTGTGATACATAAGTGGGTCTACTTTTCAGAAGGCCGCGTTCGGAATGCGACGGCGGGAGCGGTGGTGGTTCGGCAGAGAGCGGTGCGACATCCAGCCAGAGCAAAACTCCTTCTACAAAACCTGCCAAGTTCAGAAGACGACTATCCCGCTCTGAAACTAGCGATAATATACTGAGGTAGGTTTTTCTACACACTTAGCCAGTGTTTCGGTTATTCATATTACACGCATTGCTTTGTCATGTTTTACACTTCTTAAACATTTCATTATTATTGACAATCGCGGATCTTTCTGTGCTTACATTTTATTTTCTATTAAAATTACCTTTTTTCTATTATAGCAACATACTACATGCAAATTGTCTTTAAGGAAAGCGGTCTGCCCTATTACTCATTCAATATTATTTAATAATTTTCCTTTTAAGTTGTGTTAGTCAATTCATTTCAGGAAGCGCAAGAAGGAATTAACTAAAGAAAATATAATAAAAAATTTAGAGTCTCCCATTAAAAGTAAACCAATCAAAGTGAAGGCCAAAGATTCTGACGACGAGGACTATATGATATGGAAGAAACCTGACATAAAACCCGATTTGACCACTCCTATAGTTACATTCACTCCACCACCCGATGACACGCCTGGTTGCTCGTTCGATTTCAAACCACAATTAACAAAAAAACATTTAGAAACTTTCAATGGAAGGCATAACGCAAATGGTGCTAGAGCAGTTATAGCCGACGGCGACGATGGCTTCGAAAGCCTGAATGGATATAATTCAAATGGCAGCGATGTTGACAATCGTAAAGAATTACTTAGGACAAAAAATAAGATAGTCAACGAAGTTGCAACTGGCACAAACGTAGAACTGGGAGAAAAAGAGGACGATAAAGTGTTTCAAATTGGTAAGCTTAACAAAGAAGACGACGAAAAGTCAATCGATTCTGATTGTGGTAATCCTACAAGTAATCCAAGTGAGGGGAAACGAGTGGGAGTAAGGTTCAGAAGTTCGTGGGTTCGAAGGGAAACTAGCGACGAGGATTTCACTGTTAAGAAAAAGGACAAGGTAAATAGTAAAATTGTACCCCGTTTATAATTTTCTCAAAGTCATGCTTACGTACGCTTTCTTTTTTCATATCAAAAATAAGAAAGTTTTCTATTTAGACCCTCCATAGATAGGCGAGAATTAATAACTTTTATTGTTGAAATACTATAGGTCATAGATGAGTGGGAATTTCACGAATTTCCGCACAACCACGCAGGTACTGCTTTATTGATGCACTGTGTTTGATGGAATGGAATCATTGGTTTTTAATAACAGGGTCATGTAGCCTGTCTTAAAAATGAAAAAGAGCTTAAAAGTAAAATTTTGACTTAGTTATACCAATTGCTTAAAACAGAGTATGTAACTGAATTATATCTTATTGCTATTCTATTATTTCATGCTTGTGGATACTACTCAAAGGATCTCTTCAAGTTTCTTTCGGCTTAACTTCAGCGAAACATTTCTAAGACAGTTCATATCGTAATGCTTGAATCCAAATACACATCATCACACATTAAAATAATATAACATATATATGTAATTTGTGTAGAAACTAGAGAATTACCAGACGTCGTCATCGGATGGGGAGTGTTCCGCGTCAGCGCCATCCATCGCGCTCCCCTCACACCATACCATGTCAGACTGGGTTGGGCAAACCACTAACAGTAAGCGTCATTTTCTTTTATTAACTCTTTCCTGATATTCCATCATTCCTTACTCTTTAGTTATAGACTTTTAAGCTAATCTGTAGCTCTGGCGGTATATTTTACAGGAATATTCCAAGGTCACTAACCATATATACATTTACCGTGGGCTGAGTAATCCACATAGTGACTGCTATGACATAGACAAGCTTAAACAATGACTATAGGATTGTGATCGATAAAAAAATAGAGTGACTTCTAAGCTGCATTTTCAACTCGCAAAGTCTTACAGCCTTCATTGTTATGCTTTTGACCCGCGTTGACATTATACAGAATTTTATTAAAACCCTACAAACTGTCAATATGATAAATACAAAATACAAAAACATAAAATTCGGTAAGCATGTGTTGATTAATGTCATTATAATATATGTATGTGGTATAATGACAAGGGTACATAACAAAGTTACCACACTTCGACGTGGGACCGATTTGAGCCGATCGTGTTATACCACGCTGTCGCTTTAAATCGATCGGCCGTCGACACCAACGATCAGCCATCGATACCGCCCTTAGGACGTCGTCGCCAATCAGCCGTCGTCGCCGCCGATCGGTAAGAGGTGTGAAAAAGATGATTTTCGCACCTCCGAAACCGCTCACTTACATGAGATCGACAGTATCGTCGTGCATCGCTGTGATCGTACCTACTTAGGGGTTCGCTTTGCTACAATTTCTTGATGAATGAAGATGAATTTCCCATCCAATCTTCCTGTGCGTTCAGCCGACGTCAGCGCAGTACGGACGCAATCGGAGTCATTCGGACGTCTTCGAGTGCGTTCAACCGTCATCAGCACCGTACGGCGGCGGTCGGAAACTCGACAGTAAACGAATTCGTTGTCGGTCTGCGCTCTAATTGAGTGAACATAAAGCTTTTTCTGGCTGGCTTAATGCGATCCGCGTCAATAAGTGTGGTAACTCTCTTAAGCAATCTGATACATTTTACTATTGGCAGGTGAAGAGAGCAGTTACGGGTCTCAATCTGAGGTCGGGCATTCCGATGTGGGCTTTCATTACAATGCAGATAGTTCGTGGGATCCATTCGCTATTTTAGACCCTTCAAGTGATACAGGTAACTTATTGATGTTTCTATATTAATACTTATTAACATATCGCACCCCTCATGGAAGAATGGCATAAGTGAAATTACGTCAAACATGTTTATTGCTCTATTAAATACAGAAAAATAAAAATAAATAAACACTGATCTAGCAATAAACATGTTTGATATAGTTCCACTTATGCCACTCTTCCATAAGGGGTGCGATATTATGTACTCTACAAAAAGGTTGAATTAGGATAACAACGTTCATATGTACCACTTGCCACGTTTACCAGAAACACAAAGTGATTCTTTTTTCAAATTAAACATTTTGTATATGTATGTGGTCAGTGGTTTATATGAACATTCCTATACGTCAACTTTTTTTTAGCGTTCCTCATGTCCCTATACACAGTGAATAGACTTAACATCGACCGATGACATTTATTATAAAAAATATATATAAGTTCACAGGGTTAATTTTAAAAATGCGAACAGTCTCGCAGGTTACTAACATCATAAACAACAACTTTTGTTTGTTCCATGACTTTTCACAAAACATAATAGATGTATGAATAAATCAACTTTTAAGTTTTTCTTGCATTAACACTTTTTAAACCTATATTTGGTAGGAACTAATAATAATATACAGGGTGTAACCGCAAGGTGTAGTCATATTAAAGGAGCCAAACCTATACTTGATCTAGACCCTCTGTGCAAAATATCAAATAAAAATAAGTGACTTTTAATGTTGATATAAGTTTAATTATGTTTGTATAAATAGTGATTGTCCGAAACAACCACTGCGTCACAACTCTATTGCTAGTTACGTTACTACGACTTCACAAATTCATTCATGAAACCTGGGCGGCCGCAAGCGGGGCGAAAGAACAGCTGACTACAATTGAAATGCCACTGTAAAAACATGATTTGAATATGTTGATAACACGTTAATATTAAGTAACAAAATCTTTAAATACCTACCTAGAAAAATCTAATTATTTCTAACAATATTATTTTATGCCATACCTAGGTACGTACTTATTTACATACAATTTAAAGGATATTTATTTACTTATTAAGCCCGTAGTTACGCACGCCTTCATCGTATACACATTCTACATAATTTTGTATTAATACATTTATTTACGACAATTTTACAATAGTGGATACTTTTTTAATTGGTACTTACCTACTGTTCAATTCATACACGTTTTAATGAATTTCCTACGAATTGTAATTCACTGTTGTACAATGTACGAAATATTGACTTGTTTACGATAATTTTGAATAATAAGTACAATCACTGCACGCACTGCTGGCACATTTCACACATTTACAGGTAAGGTTCAAAATGCCGACCTCCATGCAATATGCATATTTCCGTGTGTCGGTACAGAGACTGCTCTACTCTTTGAAGCATCTGCCGAGTGATTTGACTAAACGCCATTTCGATCCGCTGCCTCATTTCTTCTGCGCTTTCACAGGACTCCGCATAAACAATATTTTTATATGACCCCATAAAAAAAATCGAGCGGTGTCAAGTCTGGGGACCACGCTGGCCAGGGTACAGGACCTCCCCGCCCAATCCACTGCGGGAAACGGTCGTTCAGATGGGAACGTACATTTCGAGCAAAATGTGCGGGTGCTCCGTCGTGCTGGAAAGTCATTCTGTGTTCCATCACGAGTCTCACGTATTGTGTCACTGGCAGGGCCATCAGAACGTCATCCAAGTCTTCTGTTAGGAATCTTAAATAATTGGCCCCATTCAGACTTGCCGGCAAAAACACTGGACCGATGACGGCACAACCTATTATACCAGCCCACACATTAATCCGCCACTGGTGTTGAAAATTTGATTCCCTTGATACGCGGGGATTCAAATGAGTCCAAAAATGTTCATTATGCATATTGATAATGCCCGCACGCGTAAATGACGCCTCGTCTGTCCACAGTACCGACGAAGCGAAGTCGGGAGACCTCCCAACCTGGTCGCGGTACCAGCGGCAAAATGCCAAACGTAGATCATAATCCGCTTGTAACAGCTCCTGCGTTCTTTGAAAATGGTATGGGTGCTGGCCATCATCCCGTAGCACACGCCACACACTCATATGGTTCACACCACCAAAGGCTGCCGCAGCACGACGAGTACTTGTCTTTGGATTGCCGAGAAAATGTTCCAAAACATCTGCCTCGAATTCTGGGTCTCGTGAACTCGGCCGGCCTTCAGAACTGGAACCACGGAACGATCCACTATTATGAAGTCTCATAACCATCTTCCTGAAACATTCCACAGTAGGAAATGGTCGACGTCGATTTTCTGGGACGCCATCAATAAACTTTGCCCAATACATTTGGCGAGCCTGGCGCAAGCTCCCATCGGCTGCGCCTACGCACAACATCATCTCATAGTAATCACTATTGCTTAAGCGTGACATAGTTTAAATAAACACAAAAACGCGACACAAACAAAACGATGACACCTATTTAGTCCTCACAACGCAAACGGCAATTACAGACTTACAAAAAATAAAAAAATAGTGCCTCTGCCTTAGCGGCGGCACATCAAAGGACGCCGACTGAAACGCAAATTTTGGAATATAGGGTAACGTTTTCATAATGTACCTACAGGATGAAATTAAAATTATTACCATCCTTTTAAAATAAGACCCTTCTCATGATACAAATTACATCATTACATACACATTAAACGAATACCTATATCCTACGTATCTACGACCTTCAACGTCGCACTGCATACGCCTTTGTTTGTAAACAAGCCCATCACCCGTACCACTTCCACACAACGCAAGAACTGACTGGGTGATTACGGATATACTGCACTAAGGAGGCAGTCACCCATCGGAAACTCACGACGTCCGAAACGAAAGCCTAACACACTAACCACTACACCATGGAGGCAGTCGACTATAGGAATCAAATCCACGACCTCCGAAATGAAAGCCTGACACTCTAACCACTACACCATGGAGGCAGTCGACTATAGGAATCAAATCCACGACCTCCGAAAACAAAGCCTAACACTAACCACTACACCATGGAGGCAGTCGACTATGGGAATCAAATCCACAACCGCCGAAACGAAAGCCTAACACTCTAACCACTACACCATAGAGGCAGTCGACTATGGGAATCAAATCCACGACTTCCGAAAAGAAAGCCTAACGCTCTAACCACTAGACTATGGAGGCAGTCGACTATGGGAATCAAATCTACGACATCCGCAAAGAAAACCTAACACTCTAACAACTACCCCATAGAGCCAGTCAACTATGAGAATCGAATCCACGACCTTCGAAACAAGTCTAACATTAACCACTACTCCACATCACGATGTATAAAATCAAATGCTGGCGGCGAAAATCAAAGGTGATATTTTTGCCACTAAAGTTGCCGCCAAAGGCTTGCGACTTCGCTACGATTACGTATCGCGTACGCAAGGCGACTAATCTTGATACTTTGTTTATTTAGGTAAGATTTTTTATGGTTTTACACTATTGCTAATTTAAACTATTCTAAAATATTTCTTTAGATGAGTAGATATTATTAGGAAGCAAGAACCTTAATAGGTTCAACGGATATTAATTATTTCAATTTCACCATGTAATAAACCCATACACAGAAAGTTGTCGTGTGTAGATAAGTCAAATTAAGCGTAAGCCTGTTGTTAGAAACGTGCGCTCAGCAATAGACGTATGTAAGTTAGTAAAGTACTATTTTTTGCACAAGGTTTAGTCCACTACACTTGCATAGTAAGTACTGGTTGGAAACTTGACATTCTCGCATCTTTGAAGATTTCGGCAATTATCTCCGAAATCCAAGTTTTCTCACGATATTTTCATTTCCAAGCAAGTGATGAAAATTTATTTTATTTTTTATTTTTTTATTTATGGCACAATGTACAGACATCAGATACAGAAAGTGAGGAAAATAAAAACACTTAAAAATTAATACAACAGGCATATCTGTGCCCAATTATTACTGTGCTCAACATTCATTTTAAAACATTTAGATATACTTAAACAGACACTAAATCAATCATAAAAAAAAAATTAAATTAAATTAAAATTACAATAATTAATTCGTGGTCAACGATCAAAACTAATTTCTTGACGTTTGCCGACCTTCAGGTTGCACCTTTACGATGAAAGTGTCCCAATACAAACTTTCAACTTTTTGGGAACAAAAAAGAAAATAAGATTTCAAGTTGTGACATTTTCATATTATTTTATTTATTACCTACTCTTGAAGTACTAAAGGTGATGGCCTTATTAGTCTTTGAAAATAATGAGGAAAAATGGAACTTTACAACTGAAAATTGTTTCTGATCATTTTAATGTTCAACAATTTAAAAACATAATTTACAAAAGCTAGTCGCCAATAGGTATTTTTTTTAACGATTTTTTTGTTATCATTTAACGTATTAAGAATTAAGTCTTTTTAATGTTCATCAGCTAAGCAAGATGTCATAACCCTTGATATTGTTTTGTGGTCCCTGTTTCACAATTAAAAAAAAAAGAAAGTCCACGAAACAAAAAAGTAAGTCCCTTTAAAAAGTAACTTACTTACTAAAAAAATATTTTTTTTTTAAATATTAAGCGACGGGTCGAACAAGTCGTGTACCCGGTGGAAAGAGTCACGCCTGTCCATAACAGTAGCACTGCCGCTCGAAGGCTACTGCTACGGCGTTCATCTCTCTGAGACATAGTTGACAAGTCCCATGTGCCTGTAATTTCACCAGCACCCTTACCCTTCAAAACTGTAACACGGTAAAGTGGCAGTACTACCCTGGACAAACTCACAAGGAGCTCTACTGCTACTAGTGATTTTTGAATATGATTTTCGGAACGAAAATGGCTCAAATGCTAATCCGGCAGCGTGTTGTCTTTGCAAATGCAGATTCAACAATGCGGCGTTAATATTTCGACGCGGGAGTAGAATTTTTAAACTGAAAGAACAAAATGAAAGGGACCTTTATGAATCAGTGCTATTCGAGCTTTAATTGCACAATTTCATCTTCACCACAGTGTGACTA